GGACCCAGGGGGATAAATCAAGGAGAAGGGAAGCCCCGCCCCCTGTCTTGTGGTTGGAGAGCTCGGAGACAACACGCCCCTAAAAGGCGGAGCCAACGGCGCCCACCCAATAGGCACGCTAGGATGAACCGTCTTTCTCCTTCGCCTAGCGATTAGAGGGGCGTGTCCACCTTACAACCAATGGAAAGAGGCGTGAGGGCAAGGGCAGGGGCGGAGCAAGGTGCCACGCCCCCTGACGGGAGCGGGCCGGGGGCTTTAATTCCCGCCGGGAAGGGTGGGGGACGTTGGGGCTCCAGCTTGCAGCCATGGCGCTTCGCTGGGGTATCGTGGCTGTCGGCCTCATCTCCAGCGACTTCACGACCGTGCTGCGGATGCTGCCTCGCTCTGAGCATCAGGTCCGCCCTCCCTGCGGGGTCCTGGAAGAAGAGACTGGGGGCCGGGACTCCTGGGCCTGAGGAGGGAGTTGGGGTCGCGGGCTCGAGTCCCCAAGGCTTAACAGCCCCCTAACTCGCCACTCACTGCCTTCTCCTCTCCTGTCCTGTAAACAGGAGTTGGGGGAGGTTTCTGCGGGGCTGCTGTGGAAAGCCTAGAGATGGGGGAGCTCAATGATGGCTTGCCCCAAGTCTCTCTCCCAGGACCCAGTGCCCAGTCCCCGTCACCTCCTCCTCTGGGCCACATCTCCCGTCTTGGGGGTAATCTCTCTTCCTCTCCCGGACCGCCTCCGTCACCCCTTCCCATCATCACCTGTCTCCCAGGGCTGCCTGGTCCCCATCCCTCCGTCTCACCCTGGCGTCCCTGCAGGTGGTGGCGGTAGCGGCCCGCGACCTGAGCCGGGCGAAGGAGTTTGCACGGAAGCATGACATCCCCAAGGCCTATGGCTCCTATGAGGAGCTGGCCAAGGACCCGAACGTGGGTGAGTGGCAAGGCTGGGGGCACGCTCCAGGGGCACTGTCTCAGGCTGACCCCAGGGCTGCAAGTCTCTGTGGGGTGGGGACACCCCCTTTGGGCTTCTGGAAGAGCTGCTGGTCAGAGGCAGAGCTGTGAAACTGGTTAGGGTTCATGAGCTGTCTAGAGTGAGCTTGCTTTTGTCCCTCAAGGGTGAAGCTTGAATTTACTTATTTATGCACACAAGAACTGGGGTACAGGCCAGAAGTACAGGGGGTGAGAGGACTCACCAGAGACAAAGTGGGGAGCAGAACAGGCAGATGTGCTGAAATATACTGAGGGGAAGCAGTAGGCAGGACAGGCGAGGTCTGTCCACGCCCTGTGGGTCAGCTCTGTGTCTGGGTATGAAACTCCTGCCGCAGTGGCTGTGACCAGCTTCGTATTGCTGCGCTTCAGCCCGCTGCTCCACCAGGAAGGGCCCTGAAGCCTGCATTTCTAAAGCAGCTGAAGGAGCTGGTTCAGGCGTTAGGTGCCGGGAGGTCAGGGCTGTTGTGTCCCTGTGCAGCCTGGCGAGAGGCTAGACAACGCAGCTGGGCCAGAAGGAGCCAGGCTCTGGAATTCGGGCTTCCAGGGCTG